TAGGTGTTTTTCCTCTTCCTTTTGTCATGTTGCTGTTGGTTTTTAATGTAAATGACAGGAATAGTTTGTTTCTTAACAGGTTCAGTCCACATTGTCTATAACACTAAATATACCTGGGACATATTTCTGGGTTAAGAGGAAGGTGTCTATCATTGAGTCTTTCCAGTTTACTTCTATGATCAGGTTTATTTGTTTTTGAGTCAGTTTTAGTAATTGATATGTTTTCATAAAATCCATTTTATTTTCACATTTATTATTATAAACTTGTGCATTCTAGTGTCTTACTTTATATAACATACACTCTCCATGTCTATGGTCCTACCACTATTCAAATTCTCAGTTTTGTTTGCTGTGCTTTTTTTTTCTTGCTCAAACTGTTCTTAAATGTAGGACCAGTTTTCCTTTAAGAATTTTAACAGGTAACATGATCACATGACTCAAAAATTAAATATGTATGTATGTGTATAGTCAAGTATCTCCCCCTCCTGTAGCTCCCTGTCTGTCTGGTTCTTCTGCCTGAGCCCCCTACTGGTGTCATAGGCTCTCTTCTAGAGCTTCTTTATGCATAAAAGAAAATGAATATATATTACTTTTCTTCTGGTTTTCACAGAAGCTTAGCAGTATGCCAATAGGTTGTATGCACAGAGTTCCTCATTCCTTTTCAGGCTGTAACATCTTCCATTGTATGGATGTATCAGATTTATATGTAACCAGTTCCCAAATGATTACATTTTAGTTCTTTCCAAACTTGCAATTCAGAGCAATTGTTTCACTGTGTCTATAAATCCTTGCTGAGCTTCTTTAGTTTCTTGGCTCAATGTTGCCAAATTGCCCTCCACAGAAGTTGTAGGTTTTTATTCTACTAGTAAAGTACTAGCAAGCTCCATTTTCCCCAGGGAACTTGAATCATATTTGGATCAAAATTAAATGTTTCTTTTTTTTTTTTTTTTTTTAAGGATTTTATTTATTTATCTGAGAGAGAGAGAATGAGAGAGAGAACCCGAAAGGAGAGAGGTTCAGAGGCAGAAGCAGACTCCCCGCTGAGCGGGGAGCCTGATATGGGACTCGATCCTGGGACTCCAGGATCATGACCTGAGCCGAAGGCAGTTGCTTAACCAACTGAGCCACCCAGGTGCCCCAAAATTAAATTTTTCTTAATCTGCCCTTACCTTTTTAAAAAATATATTGTGTTTGAGTCAAGGTTATTGAGATACAATTTACATGTAGCAGATCCACCCCTTGTACTGTACACTATGCAGTGTAATTTTAATTTGCATGTATTATATTATAAGCACGATGTGCTATTTTTATAATCACAGAAGAGAGATTTTAAAACCCCAGAATGTAATGAGTGAAACTTGTAAATAAGACTGGTCAATTTGCACATTCTTATTTCCAACCTCAGCAAATTTCATCCTTTGGCAAACTCAGAGCACACAGAGCAATACAAAATGATTTTTTTTTTTAAATGTGTTCTTGCCAATTTTGGAGCACAGTAAGACAAATTGACTGTCAAGATGGAAAAGCTTAACTGGGAAGATACATTTATTGAATAATTGAACAGAAGAGGAAATGCATTACCGATTAGCCACAAAAACGCATGACGCCTAATCTGTGCCTCAAGAGACTCGTGTAAATGGGGAGTCGTGAAACTGTCTCAGCCCCAAAGTTCTTACCAACCTTACAACCTGCCACTGCCTTGCTTGCGGTTTCACAGCAATGGGGCATCGATGGACTGGTGATAGCTTTCAGGTTTAGCTGAAGTGCTCCGCTCCCGCAACTCTTTGTAGCTTTCCTAACTAACCCTTTGCACTATCTCATTGTACCAAATATTTTAATGGATTCCTGCTTTGCTTTAGGATTTTTGTTTTGGAGGGGGCAGCAAAGTGGAAGTCAGAGAAAGAGCAGTGAGTGGTGGCCAGAGTTGGGACTAGAACGAAAGTCATCTAATTTATTAAACAGCCGGGTGACCGCCAGCAAGCAAGTTGCTTAGCTTCTCTGGGCTTTTCCCCCATCTTATCGGAGAGGACTGGATAACTTCCTTGCTTCTCACGGAAGGGTCCAAGCCTCAGTAGTATCACCTGGGAAATACTCAGAAAGGGAGACTCTGGAGCCCCACCCCAGAACTCCTGATTCCAACTCGGCATTTTAATCAGATGTCCAGGTCATTTGTATGCATTTTAAATGTTTGAGAAGTGCTGAGATGGTTTCCCAGATTCTGGTCTTGTGCCGAAATTCTGTGCTTCTGGGTCCTCTCTGAGTCATTCATCACAGACAATCCCGTAGAAATTCACAGGGCTCACTAGAGTGATTGCCCACTGATTGTCCGAGATGGCAATCCCCAGTCTGGGTGCTGCTCCCCTCGTTCTGGCTGTGTCCGGGTTGGTGCTAACCCACAACGACAGTGGGACAACAGAGGAGACCCGAAAGCCAACCCTGTTTGCCTTTACGGAACCTTGGGAAGCGAGCCCACGCCTGCACCATGCCCCCGGCAAACTTCCCTGGCTGTGTCGTCCACATTCTAGAAGCCCATTAAATAAAGAACAAGGAGATAAATATAGTCAGGCTACATAAACGAGGCACTTAGCTGTGTGTTTCTAATGTGCTTCCTTACCGGCATAAGAAAATCTAAGCTGATAGCCTCTGGGTGGTGTCCCTTGGAAGAGGAAACTTTCTTTTATGTCAGAGAGAAACTTTGGACACTGACTTTTGGAGGGAGAACATGACTTTGAATTTAAATGTAACGAGATGGAAAATACTTACGTATTTATTCCTCACCATCCCAGTCCAGGGAGAACAAAGCCCTTGGAAAGGATAGAAATGTGTTCCTGCCATTATAGCAGGCATTATAATCCTAAATTAGTCGTCTGAGTGTCAGAGTGGGAAGCACCCCTTACGGAGGAGAATCTCTTGTGTTTTGTGCGGTTAGGATGTGTGGGGTGTTAGTGCTTCTGCCCCAGACCTAACTAACCCTCTTGCATTGTGGGAAGCCTGTGTATCTAGCTCATGTAAGTACTTGCTATGGTAATCTTGTGGAAATGGTAGCAAAAACGTTGAAAGAGAAGCTGAGCCACGACCTCTGGGTGTGGATGTCTGCAGATAAAGGGTCTTCTTTCATGATTTAGGAGTTTTGGCTGCGTAGGGTCTGTCCCCATCAAGAATCTTGATGTTCTCAGCCCTCAAGTTAGAAACGAAGGTTTTTGGGAATTCCTAAAGTCTCAGCTTATCACAAGCAAAAATCTTCCCAGGAGAGTTCTGACGGACAGCACTGGATGGAAATATGCGTGAGTGGGACGCCAGAAGTCTGGAGTTACTTTTCACCAGGGCCTTATTGGATGCTTTATCCTTGGAGCCGAGACACGCAAGGAGGGTACTACGGTCTTTTCATATGCTGTCAGGGCGTTTGTTCCAGGCTGTTCTGTGAGGCGTAAAGCCAGCCAGGGTCACTTTAGCCAAAAATGTGCTTTGTTTATAAACCCAGTTCGTTTCTGCTTTTGTGCGTGTCACAGGTTTGATCTCTTTTACCAAAAGAACAGTGAAAATAATGGGTTGCTTTGACGCAAATTCCAGGGAAGAAAAATGGCAAAGCATGTGTACCCGAGAGGACATCGGCAGAAATGGATAGGACCAGGGAGAATACCACTTATTTCTCACACTTGATACAGTGAGATTGGAAGAGAAAGATCATGCCCAAAGTAGTTTCTTGAGGAATGCCTGGAACACATCCTCATTTTGGAGAATATTGTAATCTGTTCTCTTCCTATTTCTGCGCTGTATGATAATAAAAGGATGGCTTTTTTTGGCACAAAGATGTGGGAAAGGTCATTTCTCCCCCCAGATGTATACAAAAGTACTTACTCACCAATCGGGGCATTTCTTTCTATTTAATGCCACATTTGTCTTTCATTCTCCTGCTAGAGGATTTGATAGAGTTGGACTTACGGGCTAATCAAGTAACCACTTTGTGATGTGGCATGGAGGTTTGGAGAGAGGCATAGCTTTTCTTTTTTTATTATTATTTTTAAGACTTTATTTTAGAAAGAGAACACACACGTGAGCGGGATGGGGAGGGGCAGAGGGTGAGGGAGAGAGAATCGTAAGGAGACTCCATGCTGAGCGCGCCCGACACAGGGCTTGATCCCACAACCCTGAGATCGTGACCTGAGCCGAAACCAAGAGTCGGACGCTTAACCAAGTGAGCCCCCCAGGCACCCAGAGAAGCCTATCTTTTTAATTCATAACAAGAGCATGTATCTTCTACATTTCTTCCATGGTTGTGGAATTTCACTTAAATTATACATCCAGACTTAGCGTCAGCATTCAGCATTGCACCCAGTGGTCCAGAGAGGTGGCAGGACCCTTTAAAATGTCTGGCATGTGTAGTTGGCTGTAAATTGATTGGAATTCACGTTTGCACCTTGGATCTCAGACGTTGCTAGGATCAGTTGGTGAGCATGAGGAGGCCCGACGTTTGACCAGAGTTTAGCACTTGGCCAAACACGAAATTATTCCTGTAAATGTCAAGTGTGTCTCATCAGTCAGAATGGAAAGGGGGAAGAGGCGAGGCCAAGAAGAAACATCTGTGTGTGGTTAAATAACATTTGCTTCACTCGCTGTTTGAAAACACCGCTCTTTTGTATATTCAAGAACTGTATATATTTGAAAAGGGAAAAAATTAACTCGTCAGCTATTGTTTCTTAATTTTGCTGCATAAAAGGCTCTGTCAGGATTAAAGTCAACCTGCATTTTCAGACTCTGGTGGCCTAGGCCGCTTTCTGGAACGCAGCCTCCTGCGGCCAGCTCGCCTTTACCCATCTACCATCGGCCCTGGTCGCGGTGTGCTCATGTCCCGCAAGCGGTCGCGTCAGGACGTGGCACCAGGCAGGCCGTGTGCCGTGTTGGTGGGACTGTGGGGTCTGGGCTTGGACTCGGCTTTCTGCTCCGTGTTTCACACTCGTGTCATTGCCTGTGATTTTGTCTTTGCTCTCTCCCCCATACAGATCCGGAGTTAGCTGTTGGCACGCTCCCGGAACATGACGGCCAGGATGCAGGGCCGATTGTCCCCAAGATATCGGGTCTAGAGAGAAGCCAGGAGAAGAGCCAGGACTGTTGCAAAGAGCCGATCTTTGAGCCCCTGGTGCTTAAAGACCCCTGCCCTCAGGTCCCTCAGCCGCTGCCCCAGCCCCAGGCGGAGCCCCAGCTGCGAGCTCCTTCTCCAGACCCCGACCTGGTGCAGCGCACAGAGGCCCCGCCTCAGCCCCCACGTCCAAGCACACAGCCGCCACAGGCGCCCCCAGAGGCCCAGCTTCAGCCCGCCCCTCAGCCTCCAGTGCAGAGGCCGCCGAGGCCTCAGTCCCCTGCCCAGCTGCTCCATCAGAGCCTCCCGCCTGTGCAGGCCCACCCCTCGTCCCAGAGCCTCTCCCAGCCATTGTCCGCCTACAACAGCAGTAGCTTAAGCCTCAACAGCTTAAGGTGAGCCAACCTGCTTTTTTGGCCTGTTGCCTTCTTCTTCAGGTGGGAGTGGGTAAGGAGTTCCCAAGCAGACTGGCGTTTCTTGTTGCAAACGCTGTCGCTGTGTTCTCAGGAAGCAGAGCCCGGAGGGCAGGGAGAGGGCCCAGGGAAGGGGCGGCATGCGTGAGAACTAGCGCAGAAACCTGAGGGACACCCAGCGCTGGGAGAGTCTTAGAAGGGAGGCCATTTGCCTCCGAGGGAGGACAGCTCAAAGATGCTCCATCTCCCTGCGACTCCAGAGTCAGGAAGATGAGGGCCAGGGAGGTTTCTGGTTGAGGTTTTTCTATTACCACGGACCTCCAAGGCGGTCTGAGAGGCCGAGAAGCAGGCTGCGTTTGGAGAACGAGGAGCCCCGTGGTGGAGATCCAGGCTCTCTCCTGCCTCGTCTTTGCCAAACTACAAAGGAGAGTTTTCAAAGTAGCACAGGGGAGGACTGCCAAGGAAAGGGAGACCGAAACCTTGCTTGGCCCCGGGGGTTGTAATTCTAACCTCCCAGGACTCTTGTGACTTTGTTTCCCTTGTGACAACCTGGTGACTAGGGGGATTCTGGAGCCTGCTGCTTCCTGTCTAGGACAGGGGAAGGAAACTGCCTTCGCCGGGGTTCTGCCCCCGAGTTCATGTCCGTGGCCCCCAGACCAGAGCGGTGATCAGGGGCTCCCTGGTTCACCTCCTACCTGTGCTTCTTCATTGAAGGGGGTCACGGTCCGACGGGGTGAGGTCAGGCCCCTGTTCTTACTCCTCTCTGAAAACTGTAGGACATGTGGCTAGTGGAGGACGTGAGGGCGCAGGGCTCCTGGGGCAGAGACGAGAACTTGGCAGCAGAGTGGGGAGCGGACCTGGGTTATCGGCCAAAGCTCTGGGGCCTCAGCTCCTGTTGTCCGAGGTTGTGATCCCAGCAGAAGCTTCTTGTGTTCCCCGGGGCAGGGTCTGTAAAGAGTATAAAGAGGAAGGAGCAGGAGAAGGTGTTGAATGGTTTTGGGCAGGGAGATAGGATTTTTTTTTTTTTTTTTTATAGTGATAATACAGGCATTATTTTTATGATGGTCTCATAGGTGGATTTTTTTTTTTTTTTTTAAGAAAATAAAAGTCTAACCTCTTTTTTCCTTTCTTCTTCCTTTTTTTTTTTTTTTAATTTTTTTTATTTTGTGGTGGTTACTCCAACAGCAGTAGCAGAAGCAGCACTCCAGCAAAGACTCAGCCCGCCCCTCCTCACATCTCTCACCACCCCTCGGCCTCCCCGTTCCCCCTCGCACTGCCCAACCACAGCCCCCTGCACAGCTTCACGCCCACCCTCCAGCCCCCCGCACACTCACATCACCCCAATATGTTTGCCCCTCCCACGGCTTTGCCTCCTCCACCGCCTCTGACTTCAGGGAGTCTGCAGGTCCCCGGACACCCGGCCGGAAGCACTTACTCAGGTAGGAGGGAGGAGCCTGCCCGCCGAGCCCCCTCCCCGAGCCCCTCCCCCCACCCCCAGTCTCTCCCGCTGGTGGCCTCGCTGTCTGTGCTGCCCCTTGGGGCTGGGTTTTCTCTTTTGACGATTTCCTGCTTTGTTAGATGTATTCTTGTAACCTTCCTCCGGCCCTGTATGGGCTGAAGTTCAGCCAAAACATGTACCAGCAGCATACCGACCCAAACAACTGCCAGGGGGAAGCAGTTGGTTGGAAGTCAGGAGGCTTTTCCAACTGAGTTCACCCACTGAGTGGGAACACACGGATTGTAGATGCCCTGTCGCCTGGGCTCCCGTGAGAGGGACAGAAACATTGCCAGGCCCAGAGACTGTTCCATTCCAGGCCCTGAGAATTCCATCCTGGTTTAAGGGGTTTGTTTTCAATGAGGAGGGCCTTCTCCCTTCTTCAGAGGGGAAGATGCACTTTTCGTGCCCAGAGCTTTAAGTGTTAACAAAATCGAGTGTTAGGTATCGGCCCCTCTTCTCCTCCCCTGTATTGATCAGGCCGGGATCCCAAGTTGGGGTCCATCATAGCCATGTTCTACCCCTACTGCAGAAATTCCCCCTTGAAGAAGAAGGCACGAGAACATGGCTGTGGTAACAGAGATCAGGGTGCAGTCAGCTGTTCTGAAGCATGAAAATACGTTAGTTTCTCGAACCCCCCCAAACAGCCCACAACGTGCACAATATTAATGTCCCCCTCCGGTAGATGAGGGAACCGAGCCCCGGATGGGTGACCGCCCAGGCCCTGGCTCCCTGAGCTGACACTGACAGAGCCGAAAATCAGCCTCTTGGCGCTTCGGCCTGGAGCCTGTCCCCGAAGGCCGAGCGCCTAGAAGAACACGATCCGACTGTGACTGGGTGTCAGGATCCCCCGGTCGGTGGGCCCCTTCCGTCTGGGGGCCCCGGGGCTTTCGGGGGCGCCCTTGGTCCTTGTCCCCCTCTGGTCAGGTACTCAGATGTCCTGCTCGGAAGGCTATTCCTGGTGCGGCAGGAAGCGTCATCCTCTCCCTCTCCTTCTTTTCCAGAGCAAGACCTCTTGCGACAGGAACTGAACACACGCTTTCTGGCCTCTCAGAGTGCTGACCGTGGGGCGGCCCTGGGCCCTCCGCCCTACCTGCGGACCGAGTTCCACCAGCACCAGCACCAGCACCAGCACACACACCAGCACACGCACCAGCACACCTTCACGCCGTTCCCCCACGCCATCCCGCCCACCGCCATCATGCCGACTCCAGCACCTCCCATGGTGCGTACCCCAGGCCGAAATGTGAGGATAAGTAGAGCGCGACTCTTTTTCGATGCAGCACGCGGGGGTGGAACGGGCCGTCGGGGCACAGGAGGTGGAACGGGGAGCGGTAGCCATTTAGGGGGCTCCCTCAGCCTTGTCCGTCTCTGCCGGGGAGAAGGGAATGTGCCCTGCTCCGGGCAGCGCTAACCCAGGGCCTCAGGTAGGCACTCCTTTCTGGAAAGTTCTGTCGAGCACTGTGCGTGTGCACGGGGAGGGGGGTATTCTCGATGCCCTCCAAACCGTCCCAGCCACTGCTGGTAGTTAACTTCTTAAAGGGTAATTTTGTCTTCTTGAGCATCTTGGGGGATTGCCACCACTTACAACAAGGTACCTGTCTGTGCTACGCACCAAGTCATAGCAGATTAACGCTCGTAGAATTCTGGGAGTCGGGAGGAGGGCCGAGGAGGAGAGAGAGCCGTCTGAAGACTTGGACCGTGTCCGTGACCCCCTGCTCTTTCACGTGGCTCCCCGAAGCCTGTTTTGTTGAGGGGGGGGTGTTCTCTTTCTCGTGTTTCATAAGATGGTGCCCCAGGCTGGTATCCTGCTCTGTCAGCAAGTGTTCAGGGAGCTGGGGGCCCCTAGGGGCAAAACTTGATCTTGTGGTAGAAGATGCTGCTGACAAGGACATGGTCTTGGTCTCGACTGGGTCTAGCACATGCCGGGGGAAGCAGTTAGGATTTTTCTTTTTTTTAAACTTATGAACTATAATGAATAGTGCCATATTAGGGTGCTAAATATTCTGAGATAGAGCCCTGTCTGCCACCGTGAGTACTGGGGTGCTTTATTTACTTAATTTTTAGTATACAAGGAAATACTTGATTTGGTATCGGCACGGTGAGAATAGATTTGAATTCTGTGATTTTAAGAGGTACACTCTCCACCAAAAATCGCATCCTCTCCTCCCTCCCCCTCCCTATTTTGTTCAACTTAATTTTTTTAAATATAGATTTTGAAGTTTATTTTCTAAATTTATTTAGGAGAATATTAGAAATGAGACCTTGGGACCAAAATTTTTTCCTATAACAAATCCTGTATCATTTTTCTGGATGAATTATACTTTTCAACAGTTATATTTTTAAGGGCCTATTATCTTGAAAAAGAGTTTCTGGCAGCGTGAGTGAGCTGTTACACAGATAAATGAAATCTAACTAAGGTGGGGGGGTTACGGCACGAGGAAGCTGACTTTATTTAGAGGAAGCAGAGGTATACTCTGTTCTGCTCAAAAGAAAAGTTTTAAGACCTCGCCCAGATGCCTTTCCATTCGGGAGTAATACATCTCAGTAGGTGGCTGAATGTACTTGTTCTTCTGCCAAAGGGAAGATGAAAACAAGGAATCGCTGGATGAATTAGACCAAATGCTCGCTTCTCTCTGATTGATCGGAATAATTGCCTCTTTCTCCAGTTGAGATGTCTGGTTTGTGCCAGTCTCTAAAAACAGACCAGAAAGAAAGACACTGTCGTGCAACCAGGGCCTAAATGCACCGTATGGGTTCTCACTTTGCTTTTCCATTTCTTGTCGGAGCAACTCAGGAGTCGAGAAGGGTTCCCTCCTATACAGCGAGGTTACGGAGTCGGATGACAGCCTAATGACAGAGAAGCTGACTTAGGGCGGCCTCCGCTGAAGCAGTGAACAGAAATGTAGACTCTTTAAGTAACTAGCTTTTGCTTTGATCCCTTTACAGTTTGACAAATACCCTACAAAAGTTGACCCATTCTACCGGCACAGTGTGAGTCTTGTTACCATGCTACCCATTCAATGTAACTGCTTTTCCATTTTTGTGCTCTTGCCACAGATCAGTAAATGACTAGCAGCCTTCCTTAATCATCTTTGCAAGAATTCCCATTGCTCCTCGTCACTTTGGATGCTTGCTTTTGTGACGTTTGCTTCTGGTAACGATGCAGTATCCGTCTTCCGAATCAAAAGATCATTAGCATGCCTAAAACTGGAAAGTGCAGGTGAACTCACTGGAAGCCGGGCATCTGGCCTCAGTGGGGTGTCTGCGGTGGAATCACCATGGTTTCAGGGGACTCTGAAATCACAGGATTTCAGTCATTGACCGAAGTGTCATTAACACAAAATTCCCAGAATTCAACTTGAATGATTTCTTCCAAATAGAATGTCATTAATCTGAGAAAGAGGCTCCATAGCTCAGGGGTTAGAGCACTGGTCTTGTAGAATGTCATTAATCTTTTTGACTCCTCAGTGCCTCAAAAAAGCAGGTTCTCATCTCCTCCTGACGAAATTAGACCCCTCTCCCACATGGCTGGTATTGTTCTCCTGAGCTTGTTAACAACTAAAAACCAAAATATCATTTCAATAAAAGAAGGGCTTATAATGGAACTCTGTGATTTTTTTCCCCTTTAAACTCATTCTTCTTTATATAAAAAAATACTCATTTTATCCCATCTTAAAGAGTTCAGTTCTCGAACTTCAATTGGTACCAACCTAAGTTACATATTCAGTAGAGACATCAGACGAGGACTTTTTTTAAAACACAAACACCTTCAACATCTTACCATGATATTTTGATTATGGAGTGAATACTGCATCGTGTTTACCTGAAATTTTGCAAGTCTCTTTGCTCAGTGGTTATTTTTATTTTTTTAATTGACACCAGAAAGAAAAATTAGTAAGTGCTTGTAACCATGTTGGTCCACCATATTCAACTATGCTTGCTTGGAAAGAAGTGCTCCTCAGGTCAGCAAAGCCTGTGAATTCATCCATATTTTGAACCAGATCATTAGACACTGTCTTAGTCCGGAGTGTAGCTGAGAAGTCAAGACTACAAAATAGCAGAAATAATGAAGAATGAGTTCCTCCAGAGACATGCAGATATAACGTGAGGAAGCCTCCTCATGAAGAGGAAAGTAGATCCAAGTGCCTGGGCCCCCACATTGTTCTGACACTTTTTGCTCAGCTGTGATACAAAAGCACTTTTTATTTATTTTATTTATTTGTTTTTAAAATATTTATTTAAGAGAGAGCGAGCGAGCAGGGGGAGGGGGAGAGGGAGACAAGCAGACTCCCTGCTGAGCACAGAGCCCTACACAGGGCTTGATCCCAGGACCCCGAGATCATGACCTGAGCTGAAACCAAGAGTCAGACGCTTAACCCACTGAGCCACCCAGGCCACCCCACAAAAGCATTTTTTAAGTGGACGTGCAAAATCCAGTAAACCCGTGGGTCTCCTCTTTAGGGATGTCCCGTGAATGGTGTCATCCTTGATGATCATCAGATTTCTGCCCTTCGTCAGTATTCGCTGATTTAAATTAAGGACCAGCTAACAAAGTCATTCCTAGAGAAAGTTCAGCATGCTCAACAGGTGGCTCAGATTTACTCCCTAGGACAAAATGCGTAGTAGTGCTTTTTTATAAGCTTATTCCACAGAGGGTCCTAGATTTAAGATGGAGAATAAGCCGAGAGGCCTGAATTTTTGCCAGGTTTATGTTTTATTACTTAGGTACTAAAGATTTTTCGTCAAGTGGGTGGGGGGGGGATAGTTAGCTGTATTCTAAGAGGGTCAATAATGGACTACAGCAAAAGGAAAATGGTGAAAATATCTAATTTTCTATTGAAAACATTAAAGGAAATATTCCCCACCTGGAGGCAGAGTAATAGAAATTTGAGTGTGTTTTAGTGTGGCATGTATTTAATTACTCTGCTTCATACAGTGTACTGTGGGAGAGTTATTTCGTTTTATTAGTTATAGTGGATAATATGTGAAGTACTTAGTCTCTCCCGCTCTGGGGATTAGGACGTTATAAGGGGAATTAAGATGCAGTGCACTCAAGTATCTGAAACACAATTTTAGACTTAAAAGTAGTTTTAAATGAGGGCACTTGGCTTGCAATCACTGTTTAAGTGGATTTAGTTCAATATCAATTAGTCTGAAAAACTTTGCTGCATCATTGGAGGGAGCAAAATGAAATAAAGACCAACAGAAAAGGACGTGCTCTGAAAACAGGATTATGAAATGGGCATTTCAGCCCTTACCTAGAAATAGCTAACGTAAAGTCATTATGCGGAAAAGCTTGAGTTATTATTGTATTTTCGACATATTATGCAACCATAAAGGGGGGGTGACGTAGTGTCCGCATGGTGGTTTGATCAAAGTGAATGGAACCAGAGCAGTGGGATCTCAGAAATATTCGAGTTTTAGGAGGAGGAAGAACTGTGTTTGCCTTGTCTTCAGTATGGCCGTATATTTCTTTCCTCCATCGTGTCCCCTGTAAACTGGTTAATTCCAGAAAATTCATATTCTTAATTCAGAATCATTCTTCCCCCTTCACTGAGTGGTCAGACCCGTCAAGGGCTTGGGCTTGAGCAGCCCCCAGTGAGCTTGTCCATCTTCCAGAAGAAAACAGCTTCATTGGGAGTGTATACAGTCATTTTATCTTACCCTCCCACAAATATTTGTCATCATTTGAGACGAGACAATTAAATTGTCCTCTGAAACCACCACTTCTGGAACAACCTAATGAAGCAAGGATTGTGAATATTTTCTCATTTCCTCAAACTATTAAAAATCTAAAAGTACTAATTGAGTTTTAATGGTATAAAATCCTGGAACTCATAAAGACTTGCTTCTTTTTCTTCCTTTTTTCTTAATTTTTCTTTTTTTAATTTTTTTCCTTTTTCTAATTAACTTGTAATTTTCCAGGCATCTTATTTGGCTCAGCATCCCCTCCTGTTTTTGATGCGCATTAAAATCTCAAGGCATTTAGGTTTTCTATCTGATTTAACAATTAATAATTAGAAAAGCTCCCTTTCTAATGATATCCTCATTTGGGACATCATTTGTTGGCTGATTGATTCTGAACTACTTTTAACTTTTTAAGTTAAGCATTCATGGCACATCTGTGTGATCATTTCATCATGGCTTCTTGACTAATAGCATCAAACTGGTGTTACCTGGCTTGCTAATGTGGATGTCGTTCGATGGGAAGGGAACTGGAATATATCGTTTGCCTCCTACTAAAATCTTTTTCTCCCCTCCCCATCTTTGGTCACAGCTCTTCCATTCCTACCCTCCTGCAGTATCGGGCATCCCCCCTATGATTCCACCCACTGGCCCTTTTGGTTCACTACAAGGAGCATTTCAGCCGAAGGTAAGCAACCTGACTGTGAAAACACACAGGCATCTTTACAAGCAGAGCCTCAGGCGAGGTGGCCGGGTGGGTTCTACAGCCTCTCGCCTGCCAGTGGCTAATTTTTCTAATCCAAAGTGACCATCGGGATTAGAGGGAGAGTATTTTTTTTTCTTTTTTTTTTTTTGCTAGCCCCTTGAGTTTTAAACCTCAGCCCGAATTTAATTTTCAATCTGTACTACCCATGTAATCTCAGTTGAGCTAGGATTTCCTGTAATCTTTAAGATACACAGAAGACATAGATGTATTTTTTTTCCACCAGTATTGTGGACAAAAGCTTCTGGCCAGGAGATGTACGAAATGTCAGATTCGTGTGCACCAACTTGTCCTTGCGGTATATATTATTAGCAGAGATGCATAGCTGAGCCTTTATTGATTTGAATAGCAAGGAATAGAACCTTGCTAAAACTAAACTAAAATTTCATCCTTCCGGTTGTGTGAAGGAAGTTGCTTCTGCTCATCTCCCCCATTCTGCTCCTTTAGCCTTGTGTGTCTGCAAATAGGGGGTCTGCCTGCAGGTGGAGGGCAGCCACCCACCCTTTCATGTACCCCTGTTGCCCCTCTGCCCTGCCTCAGTCCTCCCTCAGCCACGGTCACACTTGCCAAGGTCAAGACTTACAGCCTAATGTGAAATTAACCTTTTGCCCTTCACAATAACTAAATCCTTTTCTACCTAGTCAGTGTTCTACTCGGCTTGGGCTAGAGTTGTCTCCAAAGGTCAATATTGAGGAGTGATTCTCTGAACACCCTCCCTTTATGTGACTCTGTTATAGCCCTTACTTTATTTTTATACAAAAGTAAAATGTAGTTACGTTAGTAACCGTTCTCAGATTTTTAAAGTAGGAAATTTTGCTCTGTGTGATTTGGGTTTTCTTCGCTTTTTTTTCCCCCCCAACTCATTTCTAAGAGAAAAAACACCAGCTTGGGGCCAGTCACCCAGAATGAGTGCATTTTGCATTTCCAAAGGCATGTTGCCTCAAAGCTAGACATTGGAAAAGAAATTTAAAAGCCTTGGGGGTGGGACCAGCTACACCTTAGAAATGACATTTACCTGCTCGGAACTGTAGTTTATAGGCCAGGTTATCTCTACCCGGGGCTTTAATGATGGCCATGGGCGACCCCTCCTATCTCGGATGAACCAGTGGTGATTTTTCAACCCCTCCCCCC